CTATTCCAGGAAAGTCCCTCAGGGGCCACACAGTCCTTCCAGACATCTAGAGGCCCAGAAGGCCCGGAAGAGTCCTGCTCACGGCGGAGCCACCACCAGCCCTCGCAGCTGCACCCTGGCACCCAGGGGGGCTGCTGCCAGCCTCCTCTCAGACACACTCGCCAGGCCTGGCCAGCCACAGCTCGGGAGGCCACACGGATGCTCAATGTCCTCCTCATCCCCTGCCTACCTACCCCAGGGATCTGGAAAAGAGCAAAATTTTACCTCCCTCTCCTCAACTCCCAGAAGCGCCTAAAGATGCTTTTGAAGCAGAGGCTTTGGGGATGGGACCCCCACACGGCCCCAGTGCGTGCCCCAGACAGAGAGGAGTCCTGCTTCTTTGGTCCTGTTCTCTCTTTGTCTTTATTTGATATGACAAAATATAGTTTCAGGAAAACCCCGGAGTCAATAAATAGTTGGACGACAGCGAGGGGCAGGAGGGCAGAGTGGTGTCAGGGGCTTCTGGGGCCTCTAGAGCCCCTTGCTGGGGCTCAGTGGCAGGGAGCCCCAGTCCTGGGGCGAGCTAGTGTCCTCAGGCTGGGGACCAGAGAGGGCATGCACAGGGCGCAGGCTGGAGAGGTTCCGGGCGGTAGGAGGTGGGGAGAAGGTGTGGGGGCCATAGGGCGATGAGGGGCCCTAGGCGGAGCGTCAGCCATCTCCCCCTTTCAGATGCAAATTATTAAAAAATGAAGATTGGATTTAGTCGCTACAATGAAGCACCCCGAGAATGGCGCCGACTCGGCCAGGCACACGCACTCTCTCGCAGCTGCCGCAGGGCCGCAGCCGGGAACAAAGGCGAGGGCGAGGCAGGCGGGTGGGGTGGAGGGCCCTGCGCCCCCCGCGGGGCGCACCTTCACTCCCACAGCCGCGCTGGGGCAGGGCGCGAGCGGCGACCCAGGCCGGGCTCCCTCAGCACCCGCCCTCACGCCACAGCCCTCCAGGGACCCCTGCAGGGCTGGCCCTGGGCCCCCGGTGCTGAGCAGAACTGGGGGCTGGGGGGGCCGGCCGCGCGGGCCCCCCGCGGGAGCCTGGGGTCGGCGGGGGTGCGGGATGCCAAGGGGGAGCGCTTGTGTCTGCGAGGCCCGGGAGCCGGTGCTCTGAAGCCCCTGTCCCTGCCCCAACACAGAGAGAGGAAAACGGAACAGGACAGGCGCCCGGAGCGGCGGCGCGAGTGCTGTCTGCGGGCCTCCCCGCCGCCTCTAAAGAGCCTCTTTGCTTTTCATTTTGGAATCTTTCTTCCACTTCATCCTGCGGTTCTGGAACCAGATCTTGATCTGTCTCTCGTTGAGACACAAGTTGTTGGCGATCTCGATGCGCCTGCGGCGAGTGAGGTAGCGGTTAAAGTGGAATTCTTTTTCCAGTTCCAGAGTCTGGTAGCGCGTGTAACTGGTTCGGGACCGCTTGCCGTCCGTCTCTGGAATATAACCCCCCAAGCCAGGCAGGGGTGAATAGCGCGCAGCGCCCCCGCGCCCCCAGC